GGGATTCACCCAGCCGTACCCGCCATCCGGTACTGTGCTGTCAGCGATGCGAGAGGCTTCGAGAACGGGGTCGAGATCGGAGTCGGAGGGGTCGACTTCATGGTGCGCCGAACGAGCCTGGCGCAGGGTTGTACCGCCGGCACGATCTGCCGAGCCTTTGGGGAGCTGTTCCAGCTGGTAAGCTGTGGTCGTGGAGGTCTGCGTCGCCATAGCGATCTTATTTTTGCCAGATAGTTTTGTGGCCTCCTCGCCTGGGTGAGGCGGGCTTGGAAGTGGCCATATATAGTTTTTTCACCAGCTCTCATCGCGCCATGCCCCGCGCGTGCTGCCCCGCGCATGCTTCGGATAACCACGGGCAACTACGCAAACATGATCCTTTGTGAAGCAATTTTTGCCTGGCAATATGGATTCTATTAGTCAAAAAGGCGTGAAAATTGTTTGCCTGGGTTTAGCTTCCACCCGAGCCCTCTTCCGGGTGGGCCCCCGATCCCGGAATCATGAAATTCTTCAGAGCTCCGCTACGCTCGTACCAGGCCGGAGGGATTCCGGCCACGAACTGCGGCGTGGATTCCGGCCACTACCTGTGGGGCGCGTCCAAATCCAGACTTTAATCCAACGAAGTCGCGTCTCGGTCGACATCGGGCCCGCGATTTGAAGCTCGGTCACCGAAGCAGCGAATCGATTGATGGCTTGGCCGATGATGCGGAAACCACTCCAATTCTGAGTCTTGAATGGTAGTCATCTGTTACAGCGCCAGAGTGAAGGTTGGAATTTACATCTTGACTCACTCGCGCTTTGTTCTGCCTCGCTCCTCGCCTTTCCTGGAAGAAGCGTGCGCTGGAACTCGTCCGTAAACGTTTCTCGACGCGCTGAAACTTGTCCGAGTCAGATCATTTGGCGCTGACGCAATCTGTGGCAGAGCATGTTCCTTGCTGACAGCCCCTACCTGATGAAGAGGAAGGGATTTCGGGCCGGAAGATGCGCTGGCTTATACCTGACGCGACGAAAGACGTTGCAAAGCCTCATGTCGCGGTAGGCTCGTTTTGACGGCGTTCTTTTTCAAATGTCCTTGGCAATACCTCATGCATTCGTGAACCCTATGCTCTTCGTGTCATCGTCATCATTGCCCTGCGGCGACAACTTAGGTGGCTTGTTTTCGCGCTCCTCACAACGAGAAGACGAGCCCTCAAAACTCGAGAAAAACGTGTTTGGTGACTATTCCTGCATGGTAGCAAATGCTCGAAGTTAGCACCATGCACATCCTTGTGAACAAGCAGCTCTACAGAAATGGATGTCGACTGTGCTTGGGCTTCTTATTATCATGCAGTGGCACCGTCACCGTCACCTTTCGGATTTGACCCCGAAACTTAGGAACGAAGACGTCGACATTCTACCCACAGCATCTGATGCAAATTATCCTGTCGCACAAATCAGTTTCCCTAAATGAAAGTTTACCTGGGCAAAAGCGTACACAACGTTTGTACACATCAAAGGGTTTGTCGTCAATGCTTTCTCTGGCAATGCGGAGAGCATGGCGGTGTTTCTCAAGGATGTGAGTCAAGTCACTCTGACCACGGGTGCCCTGCTCTACACGGCCGCCCACGAACGACATGTTCTGCCCGACATGTCAGCTTCGATGATAGCGGACGAAATTGAGAGCGACATGATTTAAATGGACCACCTTTCGGTGGGCAGCTTGGTCTCTGTGCTGTGGATTTTGCGTACTGCTCCAGGTTTGCCAATCGCCCTCCTGTAGCTTAATGTTCTAGCTCGCATTCTTTACGCCTTGCTCGCTTGCATCTCTTGGCGCGCTATACTCTCGAGATATATCAACTAACCGAGATGTCTATTTCAAATGGCCGGTATTTACATTGGTGTCTTAAAGAACATCGTCATCCCCACGATGCCGACTCATGTTTTCGTCACGAAGCTGGGTGGCGTTGAGACGGATCTAACTACGACCAAGAAGGCAAGAAACCAGAAGGCCAAAGAACCCGAATGGAGCACAAAATGGAGTCAAATTACACTGAGTAATGATTCGAGATTCATCCTGTCGACCCTGATTGTTATGACGATCCCCACCTGCGGCCCACGACCAGACTAAACATGTTTATGAGGCTCTCGACTCAAGCATGCAGTGTGTCAAAAAGTATTCACAACGTATAAGGAAAGAGCTGGATGTAATAGGATTATTTGGTGTTACACTTGGGCAACCTGATCGTTGGTCATCCATCATAACTACTGTCGATATTCGGCATCTTTGCTTTCTACCTTGGACGGACCCCGAAAGATCACGTCAGTGAAGATCAGTCATAGCTTGGCAGGAGGCACCTACGAAGCCACGGAATAGGGGGCTGGCTTGGTGCTGGGAGCTTTGGGAGGACTTACAAAAGGGCTGAAAGGGCCAAAATCCAGATGAACTTCAACCCTTACCTAAAAATTGACTGTGATTGTCACCTGCGGAAGATCTCTTGACTCTGCTCACCCACACGCTCTGACATGTTTACATTATTGGGAATCGTGAGTTTAACTCAAGAACGTGCTGCGATACCCCTTTGCACATTGTCTTTAGATGATTACCAGAACGACCTCTTCATTGGTCTTTCTTCTTGAAGTATCGACTGTTCTCGTCATCTTCGGGTTCATGAAAGTTACTATCGTGGCATTGGACGAGGTGTGGTTTGCATGCTTTCAGTCTAGGTATTCAAGCGCATCGACCACTCGCATTCCTGCCTGCAATTCGTTCTTGAGTCTGACATTGTTCTTGATGAGGCGTATGAGACGCTCGACTAGACGCATTACGTCTCTGATCTTGGCTCAAGGCAGTCTACATAATCGCCATTTTTCGTTTTCAATTGAATAGCACAGAGCTCAAATTATAATTTATTCCCACGCCGCCAACTCCCAGATGCGAAGTGAAACTGATGGCTTGACTCGTTGGCGCGCCTGATCAGTGAGGTCATCATAGGTGGCAAGAGATATCACAAAGTCTCGGCATGACTCAACTTGAAAGACAACTATTCTTCAAATGATCCGTGGGGTCTACCACGACCTGTGCTACGTCATGGATTACGGCACTCGAGTTAAATGGTGCCAGATGATTGTGGTTTCGAAGTGCCTCCCACGCGCTCCTCATCTCTCTACATTCACTCGAATGGTGCAATCCTCTTCAATCTTGCCAAGAATACTTACAGTCACTCCCCATTCCTCAGCGGTAAATGAGCTTGCCTGCTCCAAGGAGAGTGGTGCATCATCAAGCCTATCCCACTCGCATCGCTCCCCTCCAAGTCCGGGATTTGCATCCAGCACACGGACAGGACCCTTGCCTGTCTCGACGTCCGTCGCCACCATATAGAGCAGCACACCCTTCGAATACGCACCATGGTTGTTTCTCAAATCGGAGCGCACCTCCACCATGAACGCCGTCGTGCTATTGTGCCGCACGACGACAGCTTTGTGTGCACCGCCTCCAATGATCTCCACCGGCGACAGTATGTGCGTCGAAGACCCGAAGCTGATGATGCAGTTGACCTCCGAATCCAAGAGCCAGCCGAGCTTCCACTTGTGCCACGCGAAAAGATCGGGGCTGTGGCCGCCGGCGTTGGCCATAAGGTCCCAGTTGCCGACGTACTTTTGCGTGTAGCCGACCGGCAGCGGGTAGAGGTCAGGTAGGCACATGGCGTGGCCGGTCTCGTGGTTGACCAGTTTGGGGCCCCAGAACTCGAGGTCTTGATGGCCCAAGGTCACGCCTTTTCGAGCGACATAGTGGCCCCGCGTAGTGTGGACAGGAATGGAGGATGTCGTGGTCAAGGTGATCGCACTCGCCTTGCGCGTGGGCACGATGTCTGGCCATTTGGTCAGCGATACAGCCAGAATAACAGGTGACACACAAAGAACATCGACTAATGGCCCGTTGGTAGACGTGACATGAGGAACGGTGACGTTTGTGTTGGCGAGCCACGCATCCAGCGCGTGGTCCATTTACCTCTGGTGAGTCGCCGCGGTGAGGTTACGCTCAAATCGATATGACGTTGACGGCCTTGGCATGCGGTAGCACCAGGAGCCGTCAAAATCAACCTGCAGGTTGAGACTTCCAAAAGAGGAAGTCCTGAACCACTCTACCGCTGCCGGGATCTCGTTCCTGTCTAGCGGCGGGGGAATGCCGCTGTCGATTGCGTCGGGGAAGTCGACAAAGATCATCTTGGCCCGCATGGTGCCGAAGCTCGGCGCGCAGTCAAACTTGACCTCTTGACCTTCGCTGTAGTGGGCATCCGGCACGGCGGGTAGCTTGCAGGCCGAGCTGTCGGGTCGTCTGTCATCAGGAATGGCACTGGCGGCAGACAATGCGAACAGGAAGAACGCCAGCTGCCTCCTGGGTCTGAAGAGCGAAGCAATAAACATTGCATTGCTCGATCATTATCGATGGCTGTGAGAACTTCTCCGCCGGTACAGCCTTCCATGATTTTGGATCGAAGGTCTGTCAGTTGTAGCATGCAGGCTGGCGTTGAGTTCGCTGCAGCAGCATGTCGGCGCCGACGTGGGGCCTCATCGTGGGATTGCATCCCCCCTCGGCGTGAAGCTTCACGCATCTGCTGTGTCACCCAAGTGAAGGTCACGAATCTCAACACGTATTTCACTACATCGCCACACTGTAGGCTCAGCATGGCATTTTTCTCTCGTCCACACGAGGTATGCATACGCATGAAATGCACCATGGTGTGTTCTAGTGCTGTCAGACTAGGTCACACTAAGGCTTCACTGCAGTGGATGTATTGACAGCCCCGCGATGAAAAGGGGCTATCACGTTGGCCATTCGTTGCGCACGATTTGGCAGGATTAGATTACCGAGTCCACAGCATGCCCAGGATCAGGCTCAATGACCGAAAAAACCACAGATCCGACTAAGAAAGTAAATCGGAGATGGCAAGGGCGCACGGCAATGTCTGACTCGGGATGCCACGAGAGTGAGAAGATTGCTGAGCATTGTCCAGGGTCTTAGAAGGCCAGGCCATGGAGCGGAGAAGATAAACTGAGCTGGGTGTCAAACCGATATGAATACGAAGGTTCCGGGTCGGGAGCCCCCGAATAAGGACCCCACGGCGACTTCCATAGTGTCGCCCCCTCCTCCCCTCCTCCCCGTGACATAGCTTGGCTGCATCGGGCTCAGAAGGCATCAAGAGGTCCATTATCGAATCCATCCGGTGCCGGTTTGCCCGGCACCATCGAACGTCGCGGGCCCCGCAGACAATCACGATGAGCAGCACAGGGCTGTCAACAAGTCTGGTTTCTGGATTCATCCTCTGCGGTGTGTTTCAGAAGAGACAGGGGAGTGCCAAAGAAGAATGGGGGTTGCACGCTTCGCAGCAAGCTGGCCCCCTGTAACAGCATCGGAAGACACAGCCTCGATTCCGGGCTAGCCCTCCCCGAAACTGAAGCGTCCATGTGGGCGGGCGAGTGGTGGAGCTTGGCATTAACGTGTGACCCCCGTCACAGCTGTTGGTGAGATTCGACCTCACCTAACCTGCTCTCTCTCAGCCAGCAGCTAGGGGGCGTGCAATCGACGTTGGTCGCCAGGATGCCCGTGTCCCCAGGCTCCCATGCATCCGATGCCGACGATGCGAAAGCGATGAGCAGATGGGCCGGCCGAGAGATCGGAGCAGAAAATTTCTCCCATCGTCTGACGTTCGCTGGGCATGACATTGATGATGTATCAATCTAGATGAGATGTGGTGCTTTGACAGCGACACACACGGGGCCGGGCAGGGATGGGACCTGAGGAAGAGGCGAGGAGGGAAATGCTCTGAAGTGAACCCCAGGAGACAAAGACAACAGCACATTACAGCGCATTTTTAGGTTTGACAGGCTCAGCTCAGCTCAGTAAACGTGGCTGGAAAATAAGGATAGCCCTCACTGTAAGCTTAAGGTACGCTCCCGAAAGGCCAATAAGCTTATTCAATGCCCAGCGCTCGCCTAGAGCTTGATTTCTGGCCTGCCACAATCTTCCGATTTTCCCCTCCCCCGGAACCCGAACAGGTCGCTAAAGCCGAAAGGATGCAAGAAGGGGCTCGGTTTATTTCTTCTGTCGGTTCTTCGACAACAGACCTCGCGGTTTGATAGTAATTACCGATGATAACCCCCTCCCCTCCCCCTTTACCATGTCGGTCTGCTTTCCCACCGGTCTTTCGGCAGAGCTTTCGCCCGGATTCCAGGCCCCCTCGCCAGAAACGGCAAGCTGGCTGAGATAACAGCCAAAGGGGGCACCGACAATGCAGACTCTCCTTCCAACCTTGTCCTGCTGGCGTTCGCCTGTGAAGGTGCCTTGGGGGGAGGGGGGGGGGTTACCGCGTCGAGCCGCCAGGTCACAGAATCTGCAGCTCGAAGCAGCACCAGACTGGCGTCGGCAAACCAAACGTGGGTCTTGGCGTGTTTCGACAGGCAGCTTAGCGGCACATCTCCAATCATTCGGCCAACGTACCTGCAGTGGCACGCATCTAGCGTCCCCGACCCCGTCTTCATTCTTCCCAGGTCTTTGTTTTGGGTTGAGAAGACCTCTTCCCTTGCTCATTTCCTTCCAGAGAGATCCGGCCGCCGGATGTTGTTGTGATACTGGATTGAGGCCACCCAGCTCAACCAACACTGGAAGCTTGAGCACAGCTGACCCAACACCAACAAGCAAAGCTTTGCCACCCAATTTCCATCAAACCGCGACCAGGCGGGCTGTTCCAGGCGGGCATCATGCGAACGGGAGAGCACAGGTCAAGCTTGCCACCAAGATCAAAGTCTGGTCCGATCGAGCAACGTGCCAAGCATGGATCCCAGGAGAGACGGCTACTCCATCGACCTTCCATCCTGTCATCTTGTCTGTCACTCTGTCATGCTGCGTGTGGCTCATTCCCAGGCCCATCGCATTGGTGGGCTCTCTCTGATCTGACTGCACAGACTCGGCAGGCCCTTCCACTTTCCCACGACCTCTTTTCGGATGGAACCGAACCATATCTCGACTGAACGCGGCAGTGGGGCCGAGCCTGCTCCACCCCCTGCTCGATCGCTCCGGACACAACAGGCGAAGACATTGTGTGCCCCGTAGACGAAGCCGGGGGTCCTGGGTCGGAGCTGAGAAGCTTGACCGTATGCTTGACCTGATGCTTAGCTTGTTGCCCCAAAATTCGATGCTTGATGCTGAATGCTTGAAGCTTGATACTGCTTTTCCTGGCTGCATATAGTGGGCCTGCCGTAATCCGACGCAGCCGTTCCTAGTCTGGCCTCCCCCTACCTACCTCTCTCCCTCTGCATGGGTGTTTGTTCGTGTTGGAGGTGCAGCTCGCCAGGGAGTCGATGAAGTGGGGTGGCGGCCGTGATCGCGAACTGGACCCCCTCCTCTGGTCTCCTTTTTGGGTAGGCAGTCGGTCTAGTTGTATAAGAAGAAGCCCAGGAACGTCGATGGCATCACTTTTGCCTCCCTCTCCATCTCATCACACTCATTCACTTGACTTTCACTCTTTCGCTACTATCCAACTCACATTCATTCTTTAGCCCAGGTGGTTATTCATTCGCTCAACTTGTCCAACACTTCAAGTCCAATTCCTTCCAATCACCAACCACACTCACTCAACCAACAAAACCCCCGAACCCAACCGACAACATGAAGTTCTCCGCTGTCCTCGCTGCCCTCGGTGCCGCCGTCGCCATCGCGTCCCCCGCCGTCAACAACGTCACCCCCAACACCGTCGGTGCTCTCGAGCGCCGCGCCGCTTTCCCCATCCCCGCCTCCAAGGGCTCCGTCACCTACAAGAAGGTCCAGACCATCAAGGGTGTCTTCGACGGTGGCCTCAAGACCTACGGCCGTGGCGTCAAGTGCACCGGCCAGAAGGAGGGCGGTGACGCCGATGCCGTCTTCATCCTCGAGAACGGCGCTACCCTGAAGAACGCCATCATCGGCGCCGACCAGATCGAGGGTGTCCACTGCAAGGGCGCCTGCACCATCGAGAACGTTTGGTGGAAGGATGTCTGCGAGGGTAAGTCTCCCGTCTTGTGCGCCACAATCCCCAACGCCACACTCTCACCGAACGCCACACTGTCGCAACACCACACTGCCACAACACCACGTACAGACTCATGATACTAACGATTCTCTCAAAATTTAGACGCCTTGAGCATCAAGGGTGACGGAAACGCTCTTATCCGAGGAGGAGGAGCCCAGTCTGCTTCTGACAAGGTTATCCAGCACAACGGTCTCGGAACCGTGACCATTGACGGCTTCACCGTCGTCGACTTCGGCAAGCTGTACCGCGCTTGCGGTAACTGCAAGAAGATGGGCCGCCGCAACGTCGTCATCAAGAACGTCAAGGCCTACAACGGCAAGCTCCTCGCCGGCATCAACAGCAACAAGGGTGACGTCGCCACGATCAGCAACACCTGCTCCACCAGCGTGAAGAAGGTCTGCACCGAGTTCAACGGCACCACCCCCGGCAACGAGCCCAAGGAGATCCGCTCGGGCCCTTCTGCCTCTTGCAAGTACACCACCGTCAAGGCTTGCTAAGCGACTTGTCGCTGTCTTCTACTTCGTCGAGTCGTGCTTTCGGCACGCGGGCGTAGCATTCGTCAAGCTGAACACAACACATATCTAGGTGGAGAGTGAGAGATTCTTCTGGTGACCCAAGCCTTCGCTGTGCAAGGGCTGTTTAATTCAATTCTCCATATACTACTCATAAACAAGTGGAACACACTCTGAGATCCTCGGTGCAATGCAGTGATATTTGTTGTTTGGCCATATGATCTACCGTGTTGAGCTCGATGCTAGGGCGAACCCCGGCCACGTAGACCATCCAATATTGACCTGCCAAAAAAATTATGATCAGATGATACTTCATTCTTTGGTCATGCAGACCGAAATGTGGTACTGAAAAGGAAATTTCACTGATTGCCGTGTTACTGGTGCTTGCAAATGACTCATACAAACAATTCCAACCCCTAAACGGACAAGGCTAAACCGTACAGACTATGCCTCCTCCAACTTCGTAGCCTTGATTACGACAAATCGCCCCGCCGCGGCCAGGGCTCTGAAAACATTACGCAACACAGTCGCCTTGGTGAAGCCAACACTCCCATCGGAGTGATACACCCGTATGGGGAGATCACCCTTGCCCTTGCCCTTGCTTTTGCCCTTGCTTTTGCCCTTGCCCTTCTCGTCGTTGCCGTTGTCGTCGGTCGACGGAGCACCGGGCCCTGCTGCCACTATGGCAGCAGGGACGGCAATTGTCAGGTTACCAAATATGACCAGGCCGGACCTCTGGCGCGTCAGGAGGAGATTAAGACGTGCAGGCTCGCAAACAAAGCCGGGCCCCGACTGCCGATTCGTGCTCATGACCACAAGAACAATATCTCCCTCCTGGCCCTGGAATCCGTCAATAGTTGTTGCTCGGGGCATATGGACCAGCGATGCCGCATATTCTCGCGACTTGCGCATGGTGGCGATGAGCGCGACATTGCTGCGGTAGGGTGTAAGCAGCACGAGATTGGAAGACGTGATGCCGGGTCGGACCTTGAGGAGGTCAACGGCAAAGTCGAGGGCAATCTTGATCTGATCCCTGCTATACATTGACCCAGTAGTCTTGTCGACAAAGACCGAGGACCCTTCGCAATGTACAAAAATAGGTTGCAGGGTGCCAGACGGAGCAGGAACAAGGTTGGGATACTTTGCTCGAGCATACGACTCGAGGTCCCGGCCAACAGCAAACTTGTCGAGAGTGACGTCGCAGCACGTATCGTAAGCAAAGGGGACCTCGGGGTAAATCTCCTTCGCGGCCATGTCAAATAAGCCGCATCCCATGCGCAGCTGGGTTTTGAGACGGTAGACGGGCAGGCCGGTTCCCATAAGGTACTCGAGTGCTGATAATTTGCCGTCGGCAATGAATTTGTGTATGAGATTGCCCTCCGAGTCCTGTTCGTCACCTGTCATTACGGCGGGAGGGAGCTGTTTGTCGTCGCCGGCGAGGAAGCAAGGAAGTAGAGAGTTGCCCCAGACACAGGCGAGATCGGCGCGGGTCATGCTTGCCGCTTCATCGATGGCGATTCCACGTGCCACACTTGTCCTCCATTCCCTGCAAACGTCATCCGTAGCCATGGACGGGGTTGCGCAAACGATGTCGGCCGCTTCGATGACAGCCTTAAGAAGAGCATGTCCGGCGTCCTTCGGCAAAGCGCCCGACAGGACGAACTCGTCCCAGCCTATTTCACCCTTGGCAACTTCGAGAAGAGTAGAGTACTGTGACCGTTCTTCGATCCTTGCTCGCAGTCTGAACAACCCTTCGCTGTCGTCAGGTGTGAGGTCCCTGACGCCAACCGCCCGCGAGCCGAGCACAGCTAGCAGCCAAGACGAGATCGAGAGGTGGAATCGCCATTTTGAGGTCTTTGCGATGGGTATTCGCGGACTGTCGCTCTCGGGGATTGGATAACGAAGGAGGTGTATGACGGCGGCAAACTCGTCTTGCATCCTGAATGCACGGACAACTAGCCTGTGTCGCATACGAGTTGGGTCTTCTTGTTGCTTGCCGGCATTGTACCGCTTGCAAACACTGCTTGTTGTCTGATCCAGGCGGTCGGCGAAATTGTCGACAGCCACGTTGGTTGGTGCAGAACAGAAGATTCGGTTTAGTTTGGCCTGCATGCACAGTGTTGCAGTGGCGATGGCTGTAGTCTTGCCAAAGCCAGGTCCCTGAATACGATCAGCATCAACTTTGCCATAGATTTTGGTGAAGATGACTCACACCAGTCATCATACCAAGTCCGAGAGGGCGATGGCTCAGGTAGCCCTTGAAGCGAACTCGGTCTGTGGGAAGGGCCTCGTGAAGCAACGCATTCACATAATCGACGTCATCGATGTCTACAAAGTCGACGACAGGAAGCTCGCGTAGTTTTGGCAATGGTTGTCGCTTCGGGGGCGTGGCTGCCAGGCCTGAGGTAATGTTGGTGGCGGGATCAATACCTCTCATCCAGTCCCAGAAGCCAGTGCCGCGCATCACTGCTCGGTGCAGGCTCATCTTGTCCGCCGTCTCCTCTTTGCTCCCAGAGACTACCGGATTCGTAGACTCGGCCATTGGTTCGAAAGCCTTTAGTCCGACCACCTTTCTCTTGCAGTCGGTGAGTCCGGAATCAAAGCGAAGAGCCGCGATATTCTATTTCTCTGCTCCTTCCTTCAAAGCGGCATCGGCTTGCGAGCGGCCAGCAAACGTGTTGACGTTATAGTCGTCACCACACTTCTCACTGCTGTTGGGTCGGCGCGTCTTCAGGACCACCTCGTGCAAGGCTGTCGGATGATCTGCCAGAATGCTGATTCTCTGTGGCGCTACGATGATTTCGCAGTCCCTGGGTTTGTCAGTAATGATCACAATGATCAAGAAGGGCGGCAATACCAGATCGCGGGGTCTTTGTCGTCCGTATGCCTGAAGAGAACAACTTTGAGCGTAAGGTTCTTGGCGAGGCGGCGCCAAGCAGAAGCATATGCATCCCGGAATTCTTGAGTGAGTGGGACGATGATGTAGAACTTCTTCTCATAAGCGGGATTAATGGATGAGTCGAAGGGGACAAAATAGACCGGGCCAGGAGTTCGACTGATCTCTTCGGCCGCCTGGTCGAGCCAGATTACGTCTTGGACGACAGACTGTGTCATCGCCGTGAGGTGACTGTTGTCGTCTTTGAAACTATTGATATCATGTCATTAAGATGCCTTGCTTTGGTTGAGGATATGGGGATGTGAAATATTGAACTTACAACCGACTTGAGATATACGCTTTTTCTCCTTTAAGATTGCGGGACTGTTCTTCGTAGCGTTCTCGGTGCCACTCGTGGTCTGTGCCATAAGGGTATTCAAACGGCGGTGGCAGCTTGTCGATGTCCATCATGGCCTGGACATTATTGACGGCAGCAGCGACGGTAAAGGAAAACCTGGTCTGGTGCAAGAATTCCGGCAAGGTCATGCCATTGATGAAAGACTCGTGCCGATTGATCCAACCCTCAACCGTAGTGTTCGAAACGTTGGTGAAAGGCACGCCGTAACCATGGATTGTAGCCTGGGCGTTGTCTGTGAACTGAACGGATACTTGGCAGAGCTTTGAAGCTGTCGAGCCTGGGAAGTAAGCCAGAACCTCAGGCAACGAAGGCTGGACAGTATAGGTGAAGTGACCGCGAGGGAACTTGATAACGATAACATGCCTATTGGTCGGCACAACCGCACCGCTCCTTTGTTTCATGTCGACTGCAGAGCAGAGAGAGAAGGTTAAACAATGGTTTGACAGCTTAGTGGACGGATGCAGCTTACCATGTTGACAAATGCCAAAGCCGCTTTGCTCGTTGAGATCTGTGCTCAGGAGGAAACCGAGCTGAATGCCAATGAAGGAGTCAAAGTTTGATGATCTCCTTACGATAAATCGCGCAGAGCAAAGTTGTTCGCCCTCGGCTGAAATGCCATTGATGATAATCGGTTTACTCGGGTCATTGTCGACAAGGGCACAGTCCTTTGAGGCGTGAGTGTAGCTGACCTTGACAGAGTTGGCCTGGGGGGCGCCAGTCGATGATTGAGACATGGTGAATGTTTGCGAGGTTCCAATCCACTGATCAGCTGTCCAACGGAATGAATCGTCAGAGCTTTTCCTGATAAGATTTCAAGCGGCGAGCCGATGAAAAAGAACCACAACCTGACGGAAGTGGTACCTATCAGGATCAGAAATTCCGATACCAGTACCGATAAGTCGCATCTCAGACTAAACTACCGAAACGCAGAAAAAAAAAATAAACTGAACCACGCCGGATCTAATGAGAAACACAGTGAACGGAGGGATCTGAGTTCTTCGCAGACTGCAGGAATTGCGACTCTCATAAAATGCCTAGGTGTGTGTTCCTGAAGAAGGGAGGGAGAAGGAGAGAAGAAGCAACTGGAAACTTTTGTGGCAGACGAAGTTCAGGAAGGCGCAGAAATCAACCAGCAGGCAGCAACCTATTCAAGTCAACAGCCTGGGTCTCATAGACTTGGCAGCGCACAGCTCAATTTCGATAGATGATTAAAATGGAACTGACTCAATCTAACAGCTAAGATTCTTGCTACAAGAGGGCATGAACAGACAAATTGATTGTGACGCCGAATTCTTATACCTCTTCCAGCATTGAAGGGGTAGAGTGAGTCAGATCAATCTTCCTGGGTGACATGTTGCAACGACTCTGGAAAGCAGCGATGATCAACAAATGTACCATTAACGAATCATGCGAAAAATGTTTCGTAGCATCGCGGGTGGCCTCGGCTGGTTTGAATGCTTTGGGATGAGGCTGGCAGACGATGCGTTTGAATTGCGCTTGTCGTTAGGGAACGATGTTGCTGTGTAGCTGCAAACACCTTGACATTTGTTCTATGATGTATGGACGTTCAATAGTGGTAGAGGGAGTCACAGCTGCTGACCACAGAGGATGGAGCCAGAAATACGCTCGGACAAGTGGCAGCAGGAGATCGCGTTTACGTGGATGAACATTGACATCATCTTCTACTATATATACATAATTAGGTACTACCTGAATTACCATGTAGATGCACTAGCAACTCTCCTCCCTTGCGTTCCCTAATGTCGCAATGAGTTAGGGTATGTTTGAGACTCTGTCCGCTTCTCTGTTTACGAAAGCCGCAGGCTCAAGTCATGCCGTACTTTTAGGTCTCTCAAGCCAAACCTTGTCGGAACCGAACCCGAACGCGATGACGAAGGGGCTTAGCACGCAGTGAGAGCTGGTTCCAAAATGGGGCGCGGTGACAATAGTGCTGACAGGCTGACGACGGTGCCGAAGTTCCGATCCAGCCTTATGAAGACGAATATCCTCCAAATCTCGAGACCTGGCGAAAGGATTGGAAGAATCTTTCGTCTTCACTGATCAAGAGAACACACCTCCGAAACAATGTCGAAAAAGGCGCCAGAGAAGAGCGAGCCCCTTGACGGCGGCGAAGCAGGATACGAACCACCTCCCCCAACCTACGAGTCAGGTGGCCCAAGCCAGGACACCACCACTCCCGCTGTCACCCCTCAGGCCGAACAGGGAAACCCCCCTCAACAGTCAGACCAGGGTCCAACCGCTGAAAGGCCATTCAATTTCCCAGCGCCACCATCGTACGCGCCAAGCTCAGCTTCAAGGCAGTTCATCGTCGTCCCGCAGCAGAGCCCGGAGCCGGCGTCGTCTTTCCTCCAGGCCTATGCGCCGAGTCTCCTGGCGCGCGGTATCCCGTCGGAGTCCTGGGTCTCATTCCTCGACACGCTATCTGCTTTCCTCGCGGCCAAAGTTTCGGATCGCGCCCTGAGCCACGCCGGCGACGTAGCTAAGCAGCTCGGCAAGGGCCCCACCAACAGCTTCAAAGGCGTCTATGCCCACGCCAAGAACGTCGGCCGGGACATCACCAAGCAGGCCCGGCGCGGGAATGTTGTCGGTGCCACGGTCGGCGCCGTCGGCGGTGCCATCTCCATCCCGCTGTCCGCGGCCTTCAGCGTCATCGGTGCCGCGGTGTCGATGCCCGGATCAGCTCTCGCCGCAGCGTCGAAAAAGCCGGCATCGCAGAGGGACAGGGCCGCTGCGTACCTTGCTGTCGCGAATAAGGACTGGTTCCATGCTAGGGGCCTGGACGCGGCCATCGTAACGACAGTTGAATTGGAGGAACTTACGGGCACGTCGGTTCGTGCAATTCTGGCTCCTCGTTCGGGAGATGGGAAAGAAGCCAAGACGGTGGAAGAGCAGCTGGCGGCTTTAGAAGGGCCGTTTGCGAAGCTCGAGATGTTAGCCTCGGGATTTCCCCGCTTGGAGATTGCTAACGAGACGCTCTGGGTCGTGTTGAACTCTGTGTAGCTATCTTGGCTTGCGCCCAGCAGTTGAGGCGCCCTACGCTCTGCGTTCTATCTTGCAGTGCAGTATCGCAATGAAATTACATTCACTGTCCAATACGTGGCGTACGATCGGCGTACCACCGCTGTATTGAAGTGTACCATAGCCCACCGTGTCCACCGGAACACCCCGAGGATTTGGTGCATCGCCCCCTGGCCAAGCGGTCGGTTCGCCCGAAACCTGGGGAAGTGCTCAACAGTGATGTCGGTGAA